TAACCCTGTCTGTAGGATTGATGACCCTAACAGGTACCCATCGATCTCCCCAAAGAGGAGTGACAACTCTGCCAACAAGGATGTGTTTTGGTCCAGCTTTAGATCGTGTTGGCTCAACAATCACTGTACTGCCTGCTGACATCACCGCCGACTCAGGTAACTTGCTCCAGACAAGGTGCTCACTCTGTGGTTTCAGGGTCACACAACTTTTTACTTTCACTGTCCCTACTTTATCTGGAATGCAATCACGCCTCCAACGTTCTGTGTTGGATAACAGTGACAGAAATTGGCAGTGGTCAGGTGTTTGGCCATTGTTGGGTGAAGAAACTAGTCTCCAGTAACTGTCAGTGCTCTTTAGTTGGGTTAGAATGTTTTGATTGCATTGCTGCCAAGAATCATCTGTTCTGTCTGTCCTGGAACAACCATTGTTGGAATTATCATCCTGCATCCATAAACCATGACATCAAGGTCATACATGTCTTTGGGGAAAATCTGCTGTCCACCACAGCCTATAATCACATAGTCTTCAGCTGTGCCTTTCGTTATATCAGGACACTGCTGTAAAAGGGATTGAACAGAGGACTCACTTATTGTACAAGCCATTGAACCACTGTCTAATAGTGCTTTGAGGGTGGGGCCATTCTGTACAGACACAGGTGTGTAGAACAGGTTGTTAGTTTCTGCTATTCTTTGGGATCCCTGGAATATTGGTTTCTTGGATGAGGTCAATGTACTACTGTATAACTCAAAGAGGGATGCATTATCTTGGATTTCTGGAGACTCATTTTTAGTGGGAGGCTTATTGAGTTCATCTGCACTGTCCTCCCTTGTGTGCAGACCAGTCAGTTTTCCTGATGCTCTGGGGCAGCTCTTTTAGTTGGGCAGTTGTGGCGTGAATGACCTGGAGCATAACACTTGAAACAAAGCCTATTTTCTCTGCAATGTGACAAGGCACTGTGGTCATCAGCTTTGCAAATAATGCATGGTTTAATAGTGAAACCATTTATTATGTCTGCATTGTCTACAGGTCGCCTGGGTGGAATTCGCCTTCTTTCATGTGGCTGATTAGAGGCTCCATGTAGCAGAACCTTCTCTAACATCGACATTACATCTGTCAGGGAGACATACTGAGCGCTATGTGTCTGGGGGTACTCCTGACTGTTATGTGTAGGGATCAAGCCATGGCCCACTTCTGCTTTGTGCACTTTAATGTCTACTGTCTTCTCGTGGCGCACGGGGAAAGTTTCTTTACAGCTCATCTCAGCATGGTACTGATTCAGCACCTCCAGGACTTCACATGCTGACCACCTGTCAATAGTTTTGGATCTGAAAGTGAGAGCCAGGTCTTTACAGGACAATTCCTAATAAACATACGTGTCACCTCCATCTCAGGATTTTCAAATGATTTGCCCTGCTCTCTCAGGCAGTCAGAAGCAAGGTCAGCTGCTCTGTTTTAGTCTCAGCCAGTAGTCATATGGGTCTTCGTGGTCTTTGGGCAAGGTCGAGTAAAAGTCAGCTAAGGGGACAGCAGAGTATTTAGAAGAGCTGAAGTGTTTTCTGAGGAGACTATAAATCATGTCAGGATGAGCAGTGATGTTAATGTTACTATTTCTAATCCCAAACTTAACTACATCCTTAGCCTTTCCCCTTAGATGCATAAGGATTTCCTCAGCCTGCTCTTCAATCTTAACATCAGTTTTCCTAATGAATGTTCTCATCTGATCTTCCCAATCATGCACTGTAGTGGAGTCTGAGCCATTACCTGCAAACATGGAGGTTCTTTGACCTTTCTCTGCATGACAACCTGAACCTGGGATACATCAGATACACAACCAGACTGACCCACAGTACTCCCTGCAGTGTGTGTGGCTGTAGAACTGGGAGAAACTGTGATATGTGGCTGTATGCGTGAAATGATGCTGTCAGCCAGCTGATGTCCTATCTCTTGTAAAACAGATTTCATCTGTGCAGTTCCACATTCAGAACTGTCACTAGTAGGATTATGGACTCTAGCACTAGGAATTTCATCTAATGAGGGCATAAGACCACCAGGAGCAGGACTATCAACAGAAAAAGGAATGGGAGCAAGCACACCTCTTCCTCTTCCAAACTAATGGGGTGTGCTGAACCAAAAGTGGTTACTTTGATTAGACATTGTTCAGGGAGTTTAACAAGTGGAAAGATATTCAAAATCCAAAACACAATAGGAAATAAAATCATCAATTTGGAATAAACAAATAATAAACAAAATAAGTCAGAACAATTTGCATAGTATATTACTCTAATGCTCCATAAAGGTTTAAGTGTACTGCAACGTCTTTTCACTGTCCTGAAATGTTACTGTGAACATGAAACTATACACAAGGTGGTAAATGTATTCAAAACCCGATGTGGCAGACAGGACGGTCACAGGTTCGACGAGCTTGATTGTAGTCCAAGGTCACGGCACCAATGTAACAGCTTCCCCTTTATGCCCGTCCCGTCATACACACAGAGGAGGCCAGTTGGTTGAATTTTCTGTAATAACTGTAATAAATGGTCAACACAAATTAGTACAGTGAGCTCCAATACTGGTCCATCAGCTCTCCGCATACACAGTAGAGCGCTCAACAGACTGCGTCACAAACAATCATTACAATCTGGCTTAACAACATATTTTTCTAACAAATGATCGTATAGTGATATTTGATTATTAATACTTCTTTAAAATTAATTTAACACAATCTGGTCTATTTCCTATAAATAAAAAAAAATAGACAGACAACAATCAAATTTAACTAATAAACTAATTAACAGTAACTTCTAACTGAAACAGGGAACAAACAAACTGACAAGCTGGTAAATACAGCAAACCGACAATACAACAGACAAACCGACAACTCAACTGAAGAAACTGACAAACATAACTGACAAAATAATTTACTAATAAATAATATAATATAATTACCTGTAATAAATGGTCAACACAAATTAGTACAGTGAGCTCCACTGGTCCATCAGCTCTCCGCATACTGCAATAAAACTCCACGTCAGTCTTTGAGCACACCTACTATGACTATTCAGAAAAGAACTGGATTTGGTGACTTACCACAGTAGAGCGCTCAACAGACTGCGTGGAATTTACGGTTTAGCTTTGTATTTATAGGCAACCAGTAGGGGGCGCCAAAAACCATTCATCACATGGTAATTACAAAACATATTTTAGCAAGAATTTCATCTTAATACCCGTTACACTACATCCCATAGATTGTCTTTCTTGAGTTTTTTTTATTGTTTTTATTCAAATACAAGCATTTCTTTAACCTTTGGCCTAGAACACAGTCTTTCTATTAATGGTTACGAAGGAGAATACCCGTTAAATAACATTTATTTTCTGCCGTACACATCAAAATGTGTTTTTAGTTGTACAAGTGATCCAGATTTTAGTCTACACCATCAGAATGAGAAAGCTACTAAGTTTGTATAGTGTGACAACTTCTTCATAGTTCTGAAACAACACAGGGATTCACACTTTCACCTCCAACCGTTTCAAGCTCTCGCCTCGTCCCAGGCAGGCGCTTGGTTGGGCATCTATCCCAGAACGCTTGTTGGAGAACTTTATGAATCAAACAAACTTCATGTTTAAGGCCATTGGACTTTCATTATGAACGTCGGCTGTAATCATCATTCAGATGGGAAGAGAGTCTTTATCAGCGGCCGGCTCGTCATCGCGGATCAGCAGCAGCCTTTATCTGTGAGCAGGCAGCCGGCTGCCTTCGACCCGTTTCCACAGATAAACAGCAGCGAGGATATAATCACCTCCGATGCACAGGTCTTCTCAGAAGCTGCCTGTCCGCACCAGGAATATACGGACAGGCCTGCGTAAATAACTGGGCTGAACTTGCCGTAAGGAAACAAAAGAGTCTGACTTTCCAGAGAGGACTTCAAGCTTTTAAATGCATTTAGAAAGTGTTTATTTCTGTTGTCTTTATTTCTGTTTTGTCTAATTTGTGACATTTACTTATCAAAAGAGCAAGCTTTTCTAAAGATAGGCCAACAGCATTTTTTTTAATAATAACTTGAAATTAATATTTTACATAGAATATACCCACAAAGTCTGTACTCTGTGGCACAACAAAGACTTATTAAAAGGTTTTCAGGGTTTTTTCTATCTGTTGGAAGATTTTTATTAAAAAATGTGGTGTTTATTGGCCTGAAGTAGCTTTTATATTTGGTGCAGGTTATACAAAAGTTAAAAGAAGTGTAGTAAGTGAAATTTGTTAAATTTTCTTATTTGACAGGTAAAATGTTCCAATTATAGTAGTAGAAGACATCAATTAAATGGTGCTTTGGGAGAAAAAGTCGACAGGATGTTTAATCTGACGGTAAAAAAATTGAGTAAAAGCAGAATTTAAGTTTTTTTCCAAAGAGGAAAAACTTAACTGAATTTCTGTCTTTGTGGTGCTTTAGTAATGTCGTGTGCTCTGTGGTTGATGAGAAGATAGTTTTCAATTCAATGTTTGCATGAATGTTGAAGCAAACTATGTTAAAATTAATTTCTATTGAAAAATAAATGTGTTGTTAAAAATTAAAAACATCTCCCTTTCTTCGATTCTTTCTCTCTTTCTTTGTTTCTTTCCGTTTTTTTATTTCTTTCTTTCTTTTGCTTTTTTCAGTTGTTTCCTACTTGATTTCTGTCTTTTTCTGTAAAATATGTTCTCCAACTATTCATTTTTACCAGTTTACCTTTTTTATGTCAGATATATGGTTTCATTCAAGTGTTTCAACTAAAATATATATAAACTATCTTTGTTTACACTTATAAATTAAAAGTTTTTCTGCGATAATTTATTGCAATCATTTCTTCAAATATTCTGCAAATTGTCAAATGGATGTACTTTATTTAAAATAGAAAAAAAAAAAACAATTGTCAATAGCCGAGCAATGGGAAGGCTAAAGTAATTCACTCATGTCTTCTCCTCCTCCTCCTTCTAACGGTCCAGAGCTACATGAAAAAGAGAGATTTGACGTTGGACGACCAGCTGACAGAGACAGACAAGAGACGTGAGGAGAGATAGTGATGAGCACTAGGGAGACTTTCCTTCTCTGAGGCCCTCGGGCTCCGAGGGGACTCAAACTGAGCCAAGAGGACTCACGACTTTAGAAAGTGAGGGGAAAATAGCCATGAGAAATTTTAAACAATTTTAAAAACTCTCTTAGAATTACAGTCACTGTTAGTATTTGAATTAATTTTCCTGCAATCTCGCTCAAGAGATTGATGGCTGCTACTCAGGCTTCGCTCCCTTCCTTCAGCTCATTCTCCAGTCTGCCTCACTCCACTGACAACATGAAAGTGAGTATGGCAACGACTTTATGTTTTCTTTGGCAAAACAACAACAGAATTAGATTTTTTTTATTCTGTGCATTTGGCAGCATAATTGATATCTATTTTACCGATAGTTTTCTGAAATTGTTTAAGGTTACAGCGTTGCTTGTGATTATATCAGTAAAAAAAAACAATCCTTTTGTGATCTTATTGTAAAGTGTTTTGTATTTCAATGGTTTTTGAAACTTTCACTTTAGATTCAGCTTTAAACAACATTAATGTGCTCAGAGGCAGATCAAGGTACATGCAAACCAAGCTGCTATTTTGGGTTTCCAGAGCAGCATAGCCCTTATAAAACTGCTTCAGCTCTCGCTCGGCGTGAAAGTTGTTCTCAAAATAGCAGATTATAAAGATATTTTTGTTTTTATTCATTTGAATCAATTAATATAACACCAAAATGACAGATATACTGTGTTTGAACAGAAAAAGAAACAATGTCAGTTATTTTGGTGGAGTCATAATTGAGCGTAATCATAATTACTCATCATGAGTCTGAGCCGCGTTCACATTTTTCTGTTTGCAGATGAGTCATTCAGCCACATTGCAGCCACATATTTTAGTGCAGTTTATCCATTACAAAGAAGTGTATAATTATTAACAATAAACTTGCATAATTATCAGTTGTTTGTAGGTTTGTCTTTGTACCACACACTTTCTGTTTCCTTTCAGTAATTACATGATTTCTGAAGATAACAGGATGCATTGTATTTTATTTAGGGGTACCCGAGTAAGGGAGCTGAGTACAAATGCATGCCATAAGTTTCAGATTATCATAAAAGTAGAAAACAGCAACTGCTGTTTTGTACAAGTTTAATTGTTTTAAAAAAATTTTGACTCATTTATGGAAAAGTTAAAAATGAGTGAAAAACGAATAATCAGTCTGTCACATAAAATCTCAATAAATAAAAAAACAGTCTGTAATGTGAAAAGATGGACAGTATTAATACCACTGCTACTACTAAAAGTTATTATTATTATTATTATTATTATTATTATTATTTAATGTTTGTGTCCCATAAAAACAAAGTTTTTTACACCTCAAGACCCAAAAAGAAATAACTGTAGCAGAATTGCCACATATTTATAAAATAAAAATAAATTAACAACACATGACTGTCATGCTCTCAGGTTAAGGAAATTATCGTTTGTTAATTCTAAAACATGTTGAGTTGCTGTTACATGGAAACAACTAAGAAGGGTTTTCCTGGTATTTCTGACAGGCTGCCAAATTTCACTTAGGACCTCATTAACAATATGACAGACCCTGAAAGTGTATAATTGTGTACGTTTCCTGTACAGTTTTGGATGTTTATGGAGTGCAAAACATAAAAGGTAGGAGTCATCTTATGATCATACCTCTTTATCTAGGTGTGGAAGTCCAGTGATGGCGCTCTCCCTCTGGACTCTCCAATCAGCAAACTTTCACCGGACAGCTCTGAGCAGGTCCAGGTCAGCCAGCAGATGACGGCGGAGCTCCTGGATGACGACAGCCAGACATCGCTGGATCTTGAGTTTCTGCTGTCTGAGTGGAACAAAAATTCTCCTGATTTCAACGTTCCTTTAGACGGTCAACAATTGGCACAACCCGACCCACACCTGACTTACCAAGAGGTGGGCATGTTCAAGGAGCAGACAGGGCCGGGGAGTGTGCAGACGGGCAACAGTGGTGTCATGGCTGAGCTCATGTCTCCTGCTGAAACCGCATCGGTGGAGCCAGAGATGTACCACCAGGATTATACCACCAACCAGCCGGGTCGACGCATATTCCCCAACGTACAGGATATCAATCAGTTTGACATCCCACAAGGAGGCAGTGTAGACAGACACAGCAGAGGAAATCACACTAAGCTCACATCCTGGGACTTTAACCACTACTACGCCCAGCAGCATCACCCACTGCGCACCATGCCAGACAGCAGGTTCATCCAGCCACAGGTCATGACCCCCAACCCTCGACCTTACAGCTTCGTGCCTCATTTCAGTCTCAACTCCAGCTTTCTTGGTGACTACTCCCACCCCCACGGCCAGGCCACGGTGCATTTGGCCAATCACCAGCAGTCCATGGTGATCAGACCGCATTTGCCCCCTGGTGGAGTGGAAGAGAAGCGTGGGAGGAGGCCCACGGTGAAGAAAAGACCCGCCATCCACAGCTGTGAGTACGACGGCTGCACCAAGACCTACACCAAGAGCTCCCACCTCAAGGCCCACCTCCGGACCCACACAGGTAATCAAAGGATCAACCACAAGAAAAGACACTCACATCACAACCAGAATGGGTATCTAAAGTGGGAAGCCCCAATTTAATAAATAAGGTGCTGAGTTAATGATTACATGTCATAATTTACAAAAACGGGAACTGCACTAAATATGTCGAGTCATTTCAAGTTTATTTGTTGAGCACATTTCAACAATCAAGCAGTTCAAAGTCAGTACATTTATGTAATTACTTTGACGTTTTAGGAATTTATAAAATGCACGAATGTGTAATTAAATGTTCAACTGAATAATTAAAAACTAAACTCATTGTATTTATGTGTATATATATATATATATATATATATATATATATATATTATATATATATATCTATATATTTATAGATATATATATATGTATGTATGTACATTATAATGTATATTATGCATTTTTGAAAATGCATTTTTAACTAAAAACTATTTTATTTGATGATTGTTTTATGAATTATATTGAATTATGGCCCTTTTGGACCTCTGTACAAACCGCTGTGTGAATTTTACAGGAGAGAAGCCTTACAGCTGTCCATGGGAAGGCTGCAGCTGGAAGTTCGCCCGCTCTGATGAACTGACGCGTCACTACCGGAAGCACACGGGTCAGAAACCGTATGAGTGCATGCTGTGTCACAGGGCCTTCTCCCGCTCAGACCACCTGGCCCTTCACATGAAGAGACATGTCTGACCACTCAGAACGTCACACCGAGGTCTTCACTCATTTTACTGATAACGACTGTTCAAACAGCCATTCTCAAGTCATCACTTCCTGAAAAAGCAGAACTTTTCACATGTCACGTGTTGCTGTTGTTTGTGTTTGCTTTGTACCACACATGTTCTCACTTTAAGGACCTTCGACGGCTCTCCTGTTTCTAAGTCTGAACAGCAAAACTACATGTCAGACCGGCATCATTTGCTTTGCAAATCCTGCTTTGCAAAGAGCAAAGCAGGATTTGTTTATTAGCCACTTATGAAACGTGACCTTGGAACTTTTAAACCCTGCAAAATTTCAATAAGGACAAATGAAAGCCTGTTAAACCAACACTGTATATACTATACACATGTAGGTAGCTAAACACCAACAGACCATCAGGAAAAAACAAAGTAAACATTGAATATTAAAGGAAAAGAGTTGATATCTTCTGAAGTCTGTCAGTTGTCTTATGCAAAAACACCATAAACTGCTGTTGCTTGTCTTAATGAATCTTAGATTGAGAATCAAATAATTTTCTGCTTCTTATTCCCATTTTAAAAATGTACATATTTGATACTTTCAGCTCCTTATTATCTACTAGAAATGAGTTTAATATTTGTATTTATGATCTTTTATATCAACAGAAGGTACTATGTTATTAGAAAATGTTATTTTTGTGAACAGAGGCTTTAAAGTTGTACACAAATTTTTGCCATAAATCAAGAAATAAAGGCTCATAATGTTACATTTTGGAGTATGCTGAATTATTATTGGCTGTTGATCTTATGAAAGCAGAAAATAATTTAATATGACAAGTAAAAAGATTTTAGAGAAGGAAAACTTAAATATATATATATATATATATATATTATATATATATATATATATATATATATATATATATATATATATATATATATATATATATATATATATATATATATACATGAATAAACAAATTGAAGTATCAGCTGCTTCCTGTAGGGGGCAGTCTTCTCCTGCCATGTCAGTGACTGGTAGCTGAGTCTGCTGTGTTTCTAATCTGGGCGAGGGTGAGATGAGGATGACAATCTGCTTATGTAACTGAGCACCCGCTGATTCATCCTGATTATGTCATGTTGGGAATCAACAGGATGTTGGGAAGCTGTGCCAGTGTCAGAAAATCCGGCACATACCGCACACATACAGGGAGGAATGACAGTGATGAAAACTGACCATTTATGCACAGAGCTTTAATCTGTCCAAAAGAAGGACTGGCTTTTTGGGAACAATTTAATTAACACACCTGGAGATGAAGCAAAAAGCTTTATATTTTAACGCAGTAAAATTTTATTACACTGAAAATGTTAGAGAAAAAAAAAATTCTCAATGTGTTTTTCCGTGTTCAGAAGATGAATGTTCTGAAATTGAAAGTAATATTTTTCTGAATATTTGAGTATAAAACTAAAGAGTAATTTATTTATTTATTTTTTTGTTTGCCTAAAACATTGTTTGGAAGAAACAGGTGGTGATTTTTACTATAAAAATTACTTTCGTCAAAAATGACTAGGCCTTCGATTTAGGAAGGTGATGATTTAACTTTTTCCCTCGAGGATCCTCCATATACATTAAATGTCAACAGTCTACCTGCTGTTCATTTAGACCTAGTTAGAGACTGCACAAGCAACCGAGAGAAATACTACGTCTTCAAAACAAGAATATTTAATTTATGAAAATGTCAAATATGTTTTAGATATCAAAAGTTGGACCCAAAACAATGTTCAACGTAGTTCAACAAAGAAGACGTGAAAAAATCTTAAATTGTGGCTGATCAGACAAACACATAGAATACAAGATGATTTATACCAACAAAATGGTTCATACAATCTAACAAAGATTAAACTAACAACACTGGTTAAGATAGCGCTAATTAGCAACATATAAAAAAAAAAAAGAAACAAGGGCTGCACAATGAAAGAGTTGGTAGCACTGTTGCCTTGCAGCAAGAAGGTCCTGGGTTCGATTCTGGGCCCAAGGTCTTTCTGCAAAGAGTTTGCATGTTCTCCCTGCATGCATGGATTTTGTCTGGCTTCCTCCCACGGTCCAAAAACATGGCTGTCTCTCGCCCATGGAATTAGAAATGCTTTGCTTTGATTTTTCCACAAAGGCTTTGTGGGTCATTAAAACATTCTTGGAATCTGAAGGAATTTTGTTGTTGAAGGTCAAGCTTAAACAGGATAATCAGGCTCTACGGTCCCTTAGTTGGCTCAGCATAAAGAATGACCATTCATCGATGTGTGATAAAAAGGGGGAAAGATTATTTTGGACAACTTTAAACAATACTTTAAAAAGTACACTAACAAACATGGAGGGATCTTGGTCTGAAAAGCATAATAAGGAAATAGATGTAATGGGAAGAACACAAACTGGTAAAAAGCTCCTTTTTTCTCTGGATCTCGCAGAGACCATTTTCACTGCAGCAATACAGAACCACGCAGCTCCTGGCAGAGCTGCAGCGCTTCAAAATGAGAAATATCCTCACATTCTCGCTGTTTCTTAAGGACAAATTTGAAGCGTTTGTTCTCCCTGTGCAAGTCAAGGTCTGTTTGTTTAGCATTGTGTAACCTCGCAAAATTTGAGTCGCCCGCTTGGGGATTAGAGGAATAAAGCTGCTGCAGACGCCGCCTGAGCGCGAGGGGATTGTGAGCTGATTTGAACCGCACTGAACGTGGACAGAGTCAAACAAGGTCACTGCACCGCCGAGTTTCGAGTATCCAATGAAGCGTCACCTGCAGGACAAGCCTTGCTCGTGTTTATTCATAGTGTGCTCATATGGCTGTCGCAGCACTTTGGCTGAGTGAGCTTGTCCAGAACTTTGCACAAACTTTCTAAGTTTTACCAAACATGGAGGTACAGCAATAAACTGAGTTATATTCATAATTTATCAGAAAATGTATTTTCTTTTTGTTGCCACATTGATTCACCCTTTTATGCTCTCAATCTCCCTGCGTGGTGACAAGACAAATACGGGTGAAGTTTAATTTTTTAAGTTATTGATCTGACTTTCAGCAAGTTTAGGTGAGTTGCTGTTATAAGGAGCAGCTTGAACAATGTGTCCTCTTGTCTTTCCCATTTTGAATATTGGCAAAGGGAAATAGGACTCTATGTCACATCTTATTTATACCCCAGATAAATGGTTTTGTCCATTTTAGTCATTTGAAGGTAAAGCATAGTGTTCAGCTTAAACATTTATAAGGAATACTTTGTCTCATTGGTTTTATAGGAATTGCGAGGTAATCTTGTAATTGTGCAAAGAGAATACAAATCTAAATACTTCTCAAAGTTGGATTGTTTTTTCTTTTTATTTGCTTTTTTAACCTCTGAATATATTCTGCTGAAATTGAAGGTTGGATTTAGCTCTTTTTTCTGTTTTTCTCCATTCTCTCAGTAAAATAAACTGAAGGAACTGAGGGGTAAAGGGTTTTTATTTTTTTTTACACATCTTTGCTAGGTGTGGTGTAATTGTAACTAAATAAATTATAATCCACTCAAGTTCTGGTGAGGAAACTTGTACTAAAACGTGTTCCCAGAAGCTTATTTATTTATCCTGTGGTGATTTTCCATCTCTGGGCAAAGAGAAAGAATTACAGTTACTCAATGGCCAAGAGGATTTTCAGGAAAAAAAAAAGGAGATAAATGTACATTAATGAGACTGACACAAAGAGGCTGAATGGGAACTGTTTCCCTGTTTTGGGAGGAAGTATTGTCGTCCAGCAGAGTGAACAATGCTGCTGTTGTCGTTCAACTCATCTAACCTCAGCTGAACTTCTAGCGCTGCACTGTCCTCAGACGCTCTTTCTTTGTGCATTGCACAACAGCCTGCCTCCCCGTCGAAGACGAGGCGTTGAATCGGGCTGATTGATTCTCTGTATGGATCTGGTTGTGTTACTTGCACTATATTGTGCAGAACCACTGAGCCGTCTCTCATTACCTTATAGCTTAGCTCTGCACAGCAAAAAGGTTCCTGCAGCATTGATTTTAATCTTTCTAGAAGACCAGCAAATGTTTTTTTTTTTTCTTTTTGCATCTGAAGCTTTGTTTCTCCTTGTCTGAAAGAAACAGCACTTTTTTAAAATTATTATTTTTTGGTAGAATTAGGAAAATGAAAACAAATGTGGCTTTTCCATGTCAACCTCCATATATTAAACAAAAAGCTTAATTTTATATAACAAAATGTAGGAAGTCCTACTCCCTTGCAGTAAAACCTAAAGAACGATCATTATGATTTGATCAAGTTTTGCTTGATTTTTTTTTTTCATGTTTTTAAGGTAAAGTCTTTTGTTTATGTGGAAACAGTTTGAGTATTTCCTAATTTCATTTGCATATCCTACATATTTTACAGTAATTTTGAGTGACAAATCAGCACAACACATGCTATTTTCTACCTGCTGAGTCATTTCTAGTAAATATGCAGTAAATTGTGCATTATTGTAGCTGGACGTACCTCACCCTTTTCTAAAATACAGACAGTAAGTTTTCATTTTAGTTTATGTTGAAACAAAAAGACATTTGATCAAGTATTTATTCTGCCTTATGTTGTCATTTTGCAATCATGAGTGTAACCTAAAATAAACTAAAGATGGTCTGCTGATACTTTTTTTCATTTTCTCTTTCCCTTTAAAAGGACTTCTTGCCTTGGAGCAATATTGCACCGTCTTGCAACAACCAATTTAAATCAATGCCTTGAGGAGTCAAAGCTTCACTCTTTGAAGGCTGCTTATCAAAACAACCATAACATGAGAAAAAAACAGAAAACCAGAGTCAAATCCCTCTGTTCAGAGTTTGTCCTGAAATCTGTTGTCATCTTTTGTTGTGAGTTGGAGAAAAACGCTGATGACAACAACAACAACACAACAAAACAATAAAATATAACACATTTCCCTTTTTAGCACATTCCCGTGCGTTGTTGTTATCGCATAACAGCATCGTTTCATGCGCATAATGCAGTCTTTTCTCTCCATGAAAGCAGTTTGATGGTGGCGGCTCTCTTTTGGTCCAGCTGGCTTCCCGTCAGGAAGAGGCGGGGGGAGGGATGGAGGGGGTGGGATGGGGTTATTCAGGGTGAGGATCCGACCCCAGACGAACCAGCGGCTGCCCCTGCTGGAGGAGGAGACGCCGGAGAGATGCTGGACTCTGAGGGGCTCAAACGTCGGCATCGCTTCGGGTTTTCATCCGCAGAAAGCTTCAGAGAAGCGGTGAGTCCCGGTTTCTCTTTCTCTCTGTGTCACTTTTCCTTCTTATTTATCTCAAACGAGAAAAAAAATAAGTTTTTGATTTAAGGCAACATATTCAGTTGTGGGGTTGGATTCGGGATTTTTATTGCCATGCCTATTTGTGAATTTACACTAACTGATCGGGATGTTTATGGACCTTTTGGTATTATTTGAAATGGCGCATGAAGGTTTACATAAGGCATGCTTTTACCTAATGCTCTTATCTAATACTTTTTTGTTGCCTAATGGATGATGTTATCAAGGACCAAAATGGCAAAAATAACTAGCTATTTATATTTGAGATCATATAGCCTATATATATGTTTATATATATATATGTGTGTGTGTGTGTGTGTGTGTGTGTGTGTGTGTGTGTGTGTTTATGAGCTATGAATAACTTTTTATTTACTTAATTATTGATATCTATTCCACCAACATGTATTGTAATTCTCAAAATACATGGTTATGTATTTTTAAGGTAGAATGGGACACGTGTTAAAATTAATTTTTAATTAATGATTCATACACAATTTAATTGTCTGATAAATCGACTCAATATATTTTCTATTCATCTGAAGTTTTGTTTATTTGCTTGGTTTTGGCACTTTTGGCTCTCGCTGTAATTCTCACATCATGCATTTGTGTTTGTCGCCTCTAGGTGGAGCCCCAGCCGAGCAGTCTAGTTTGAGCATGGCAGCTCAGACAATGGGTGCTGTCTTTGACGTGATGCCCCCTCTGCTCCATGCAGAGTCCGTAGCTCTTGGAGGACCAGGATCTGGTTCTGGTTCTGGTTCTGAATCCTACGTTGAAACTGTCTCTGACCTCAAAATGCAGACGCACGAGCCCCGCTCCTTGGGATTGGAGTTTCAGGAGAGCCTTGCCAGTCCAGAGGACATTGCTGCAACAGTTTTCGACGGGAGTAATGGTGACGGTGTGTGTCGCAAGCGTGAGTTCACCCCCAGTGAGAGGAAAGACGAAAACTACTGGGACAAGAGAAGGAAAAACAACGAGGCGGCCAAGAGGTCCAGGGAGAAGAGGCGGGCGAACGACATGGTGCTGGAGCGCAGGGTCCTGGGTCTGCTGGAGGAGAACGCTCGCCTCAAGGCCGAGGTTCTGGCCCTCAAGTTTCACTTCGGAATGGTCAAGGATCTGTCTGATGTGTCCATTCTGCCCTTGTCCACACCACCCAGATTGACCCCCAGTTACACTGATGGCCTCTCGTACTACAAAACCCAACACACCCGGCAGGGTGTGCAGCAGGGTGTCTGGACAGAAACGTTTCCACAGCCTGGCAGTAGAGACTCCAGCATCCGTCCATGTGTCCCACAGGCAGACAGCACCGGGTTTTATGATGACGCACTAGACGAGTGGGTCAGGCCTCCACCAACGCGGCATCCACAGGTGTGTGAGGCAGCGAGCGAGAGAGCAAACTCATCCGACGGACTGAGGAACCTCCCACACAAGCTCCGGTTCAAAAGTCCGCCCGATGGGAGGACGTCGTCATCACCTGACAACAGACCCGCCGGCCCACCTGTCGCCACGGTGGAGCCGAACATCCAGGTAAAAACGGCCCAGCAGGTGGGATGGGGTGGTCAGGCCACGGTCCAGGCTCCTTATGAGCAGCAACAGAAGGTCCGGGACTCGTCCTGCGGCCTCGGTGACTCCTCGCCTCTTCAGAAGTCAAGCAGGAAGTTCTCAGGAGGAGATGTGAGTCTGAGGTCGGACATCAGCAGTTTGTCGCAGGAGGTGGCTCAGCTCAGGAGGCTCCTTTCCCAGCAGCTTCTCCATAAAATCCCTTGAAAAAAAACATTCTGCTTATAACAAATCTCCGCTAAAACGGCAACGTTTTTTTTAGAACCAATCTTTATTTCCATGCCTAGATAAACCTGACAGTGACTTTTAAATTTTATTGGGTTAATATAGTAGTAAGAAGACCTTGGGGAATGGGGAGCACTTTGAGAAAATAAAAGATGTAACATTAATTCTCACTGTTTTGTACAATCTCAGCCATATTGTTTGTTTGATGGGATATTTTTCTTTTTAATTATAAAATTACTCTTGCTAACGTTGTAATTAGTGTGATTAAAATATTTTTTGCAGTGTTTTATTCTGTCTGGTGATCCACACTAGCACATAACCTGCTAGGTTTGACCAGCCCAGCTGCAAAACTGACTTCCTCTTAATTCATTTAAAGCTTTAATTGCTTGTAGAATAATAACAATAACAATAAGAAGAAGAAATCTGACCTGCTTTTAATAAAAAGAAAGGACAAAAGCAGTGTCTCTATGGCAGGAGCTTGAATGAAGAGAGCAGTGGGTGTGTAGAGTCACTGATCAGGTTATTTTCCATTTTTCTGTCTTTGTTCTCCCTACTTGGTAAAGCAGACCCAAGCAGCTTACAGGATGTGAGGGTCTAAAGGCTTTGTCAGAACCTGAGCTGTTTTTGCCCTTTATATTGTTTTTATGAATCAATTCTGATAAAAAATTTTGATTTTTGACAGAAAAGCCCCAGAAAAAAAAAAACCCTTAATGTCAAATTAAAAACCGAGCTCTTGAAAAGTGATGACATTTAAATAAAAAATATGAAACATTAAATAAGTGATTGCATAAATATTCACCACCTTTAAGTCGGCAATTAGTCGATGCACCTTCCACAGCACACAGTCTGTGTGGACAAGTCTCCATCAGGCTGCATGCAGGCGCAGCAGTTTCCCTCCGCTAAACTGTTCAACCTCTGTCAGCTCTTCTTCAGACACTCCATGCCCACTTGGACTTTTTGAGGTGATGGGCAGCGTTTGGTGTCTGCTATGTTCAGTGCTATAGAGAAGGTCGTTTCCATCCCCCTGCTTATACTTTTCAGTATCATTTTCTCTGGTTTGCTTGGAATGTTTTTTTTTTTTTTTGTCTGGCCAGGAAACTGATGAACCAGTGAATGAACCTTCCAGGACAAAGACACAGACGTCTTTATCTGATCTCCATTTCTCTTATTTCACAGTAAGTAGAATGGAAAACTGGAAAAGAACCTGTGTTGAATTTATACAATGCCACTGCAGTCTAATTGATGGAATCATGAATCCTGAAGGAACATGATTAGACAGTAGTTCATAACATCCAGCTGAAGTGCACTTGTTTTATGCTGGAAGGCTCAAAAAGGGAAGATGTTGAATAGTAATAAATAAACTAATAATAATAAACCTTATTTAGAAAGGTACAATGTACAGCTCAAACATAAACACCACCAAACGCATAAGCTGATTTGCATCTGGAGTCAAAGCCTCGTCTTAAATTCAATGCTGTACAAGTGGTGTGAATTCAAAAAGGCCATTCATGCTCCAAAATGCAAAATAAGCATTTCTTTTAGTTTGATTAGTTAATGAATTGAAGGTCAACTTATTTCCTTGACTTCAAAGTCAGAAAAGACGGCTCCTCTGATTCAAATGGTCGAACCTCGTTTGACCAACTTCACTCTGTCGTCATTGTTTTGGTTAAATATCAATCGTATTGGGAAGAGGCATACGATTTCTGAAAACTTTTCCTTAGGTCTCTGACATTAATCGTGTTCTTGGTGTGTGAGGCACATGCATGAAAAGGTCGGGCGATGCAAATGTCAAAGTTTTATGAGTCCTCTGAGACATATTTAGCAGTTATTGGATCTTTTAATCTGCTGTCTGTCTCCCTGGAAATCTGCCACACGAAGAGCTCTGAGCTAATTCAATCCCACTTTTACATGTACTCACACAGCGCGTTCAAGATGAACCGGCCCACAGAGCCATCTGTTGTTTTTATGAGTTTGTTGTTAAATGGAGTAGCTGAAAGGTCAGCTTGAGATCTGGAAGATCCGGTTTGGTTACAGGCATTTCAAAAGTTGAATTCAACGGGGACATTTCGAAAACAATGAGAAATTATTGTTGGGCCATTAGGTTTAATAAAGCAGATGTACTCCAGTTGCCTCAGTAGCTAGCTGACCCACGCTTTATGACAAAAAATCTTTGAACCGATTCAGAAGAGCAGTACATTATTAACTAAGAGAAAAATCAGATTAGCAACATCCTGAAAAAACAACAACAAAAAAACCAACATGTTAATATCTGCCAAAAACTGAGCGACTTAGCTTTCTCTAAAATATTCAGAAAAAAAGATCTAATTTGAAAGAGCTGGGTGACATTAAAGCTGATGCATTCTGGGAACTGGGTCACCTAAAATAGTTTGAAATGTCAATGAAAAGGTAATTTATTTCAGTAATTTCATTCAAAAACTACACTGCGCCCCACTCTCCATGTCTCCATGAGTTTGACTCTCCCTCAAACTCTTCAGTGGGATTTGCCTTACTGTTCCTTAAATGTTGCAATACCTCTGTTATTTCATGCTTCACGTAATCCACTAGCAAAGAAGACCACAGCACAGAGATACGAGTTAAAACAGAACAGAAGAGTTGAGGGGAAGCATGGACTGGGTCATCCGGGGGAAACTTGCTGATCAAGGCTTAGGAGGAAAAGACTAAGCGTTGGGAAGAAGTCTTCAGGAAATTACCTTTTCCTGAGCCAATGTAGGACCAATCAGATGGGACATGAAACAAAGAGGACTGGATGAAAAATGACAATAGAAAGTAGACATGAGGATGAGGGGGATGAGAAGGGATGAGCAGAGATGAAGGGATGTCCAGTGAAGGGGAAGAGAGGGTTGGCATTGAAACAACATGGCTGGCAGTGAAGGCTGAGTTAAATAGTTACAAACAGATTGCTGGGTAATTAAAGCAGTGCTTTAATTTCATTGGTTCCTGCTCCTGAACATAACACATTAACTTCGTCATGTATTGCTTTTTTTTCTTTTCATTATTTTATTTGTCTAATTAAACTGCTTTAAAACAATATATTTTGTAAATATTTTTGACAGTTTGATCCTATTTCTTTTCTGAGTAGTGATTGGTGGAGAGAAGTGTACTCAATCACAAAACCTTGTGCTGGTTTTGAGGCATCAGAGGCTTTTATTTGGACAGAGACGTAAAAAGAACAGGGTGAGACATGCAGCATAAGTCCTCATCTGAAACTCAACGACAGCCTCTGTATGACTTCGCTGCTCCACCATTACGCCATCAGAACCCCAATGAATCAGCTTGTTACCGTAATGCAAAACAGGAGTGTATGACATAACAAGCAATGCTCCTAATGAAGACCAAACTAAAGTGTTGGTCACAAAACTGTTTTTTAATCTTACTGCCGTTTAAATAAAAAACAAATCTGACGCTTTTTTTTCTACAACGACCTTGTCATTAAAAGCAAGAAGTCTCACTCTTAGGATTACTTACTACACATGAACTGTTGAAAAACACCTGTGCTGAGAACAGAAACTAAATGAATGAATAACAGCTAAGCTTGAAAAATGAAAGTTGCTTTCAAACTTTTGCCTTCCACTCAACTTCCCATTAATCTGCTTGGAAACGGCCAGCTTTTGCAGCAGTGACCTTTACGACTTCAGTAAAGTCACCAGCCCTCTCCACAGCAGTTGTTCTTAAATCTGCTACATAAAAAAAATATTTTATAAGCTTTGGTTGCTGAACTGAAACCATGAAATAAATGAACTTTTCATTGATATTCTGGTTTTTGACATGGACATGGACAGAAGTTTTGACCCTGTGCATTCAAACTCTTGTGCGCACAGCGGAGGAACGTCTGATCTGAAGGTCACAGCGTACCTCCAAGAAAACAACATATTTCAGTAGCTTCTGGCCAAAAATAATCTCACAATTTTCACCTAGAGCTAAAGCAAACAATTAGATTTTCATTTATGGCCACACATTGTTTGATAAACACCGTAAAACTGCAATCATCGCAGTGGCGTCGGCCCTGTTTTCTCGGTAAAGGTGATCCACTCACAGGGGACAGCGAGACGTGAGGAGGGGGGTGAATGCAGGGGAAAATAGTGAGACCCTGAATGAGTCATCAATCACGTCAGATGGAAAACAGAAAAAACGGGCTATTTTTAGCCTTAAAGGAGCTGAGCTGGAAACAGAACGTCCCATGTGGGGGGAAAGGAGGCATGATCAGCATCCATACATCAGGCCTTTCAGAACCAGGATGTGGCTCCGGAGAACTCACAACCAAAGAGCTGCAGCAAAACAAACAAATCCAGAATCACACAACGTCCCCCAAAAGATATTGAAATCTAATTACATCTTTGATCATTGGTTCAGCATTTCCTATTTATGGCAACACTAGAGGGCGCTGAGTTCCTTCCTGTGCATGAATTTCATTCATTCAGTCATTCATTCATCCACAGCACTGTCTATTGTGTTTACTACACCGCCACATGCTACACATGCAGAAAGGGCAGAGGTGGATTTTAAAGGAGAAGCTTTTTTAATGAAAAATGTATCTGGAGAAGTCCAACGTAACCTGATTTCAGTCTTAATGGGGTGAGAAAACACACTTTAGTGTTACACTACACCGGTCAAGTGTGCAACAACATCTGTTTCTTTACCTAAACAGCAACACAGACACCAGACCTTTTGTCTGGGATCCAGTCTGATAACCCCTCCACCCCCCGCTCTCCCTAAATAAATATGAGAAGCAGCAAAAGCCAGTGGTTGCTAAGCAGGCACTGCCACACCACAGCTGGAGCTGCAGCTGGAGAAATGGTGGAGAGTGTTGGGGGTTGGGGCTTCTGACAGAGGATTGACTGGGAGGAAGGAGGAGCCAGACAAGTTCAAGGCCGCTGTTTCCCCAACACCGTAATGGTGGTAATGATGTGTATGTGTGTGTGTGTGTGTGTGTGTGTGTGTGTGTGTGTGTGTGTGTGTGTGTGTGTGTGGTGAACTGGTGCACGTGTGTGGTTGCAGACAGAGAGGGGGGAAGGGACAAAGCTGAAGCAGCACTGATGTAAAACCCCATGAAATATGGAATATGAAGGCGCTGAGAACAACAGGCTTTGTTGGATGATGGAACAGCTCCTATGAGAAGATTTAAAAATTTCAAATGAACAAAAAGACAAATAAATGAAAGTAGCAAGCCCATGCGTGCGGAGTAACTTCAGCCACATGAAAACAGATCATTCAAGCATTCATTTTGAGCTAAAACAGCAAATTGTTTGATTTAGCTTCTGATTTTAAATAACGTCGGTGCGGATTTTTAAGCTGGACCACAGCAATGAAAAGGCTGAAGCGCAAATTGTTTCCTCACTATAAAACCTGAATGCAACAGCAGAAAACATTGGCACTGACATAAAGTGCTTTGCTGCATAATCAAGACGATTCTCGAATCATCTTGTTTTTGCAGACCAGAGCAGGACAAGAGATGATTGGAGGATGTTCATGTTTGGATGTTTTTGCAGTGAGATAAGAATACTAACAGCTACATTAACTGACTGTACAGCTGAAAGGATGTGGCCCTTTTCCTTAACTGAGTCACAATCAATCAGCCTTCCATATGCATTTCTAAGAAGTTGTAGAAAAGCTGCAGGATCGTTGCACGAATGAATAACTTCTGTCTTTCATGTGATGAAACTATGCAAAAGGCATGACGTCACAGGAAACTAATTTTGCACATACATTAAGTCCTGAACACACTTTCCCCACGATGCAACATGGTGAAGAAAGTTTCATGCTGTGTGAATTATTTCTCAGCAGGGACAGGTAAGCTGGACAGCGCTGAAGAGAGATGATGAATCTTCACATCCATTCAGAGCTACATTGAAATGCTTTGAAAAGCGGATTTCTATACAGGAATGGTCAAAGTGCAAACCTAAAACCAACTGAGAATCTGTGTTAAATATTTCTGCTGAAAGGCCTTTCGTCCAGTGTGACTGAGCTGGAGAAATTCTTCAAAGAAAATGGATGACAGGTTCACTCTTCAGATGTGGAAAAACATCTACCAAGAACTCCTCCAACTCTATGTGCAGCAGATACAAGAGTAGAGACATTTTCTTAAGAAGTTCAAAACTTTCTTTTTATATTCAGAATTATGAAAATGTAATCTCAGTACTTGATGACACTGCCTTAGAGACAGTATGACTTGTGTTGAATGTGTTGGGTCTTCCTCCTGACAGGCCGACACGCGCACACACACACACACACACACACACGCACACACACACGCACGCACACACGCACACGCACACACACACACGCACGCACACACGCACACACACACACACACACACACACACACACACACACACACACACACACACACACACCTTTTCAACTCTGACCACAAATCTTCTGTGGGACTGAAGTCCTGAAGCACCTTTGTAGGTGAGTTGGTGGTTTGCTGAGGGCTGCTGTCTATTTGGAAGATTTGTTTATGTCAAACTTTAGGATACAGATTGATGTCTTTTGATATTACATGGGTATTTACGCATATTTTTATTTCTGCGTGATGCTATATATTTGGTGAAGACCACCAGTCCCTCATGCAGCATGACACCCCCACAACATCACGGTTCCACCTCCGTGCATCATTGTTGGGAAACCCATTTGCTCTGTTTATGTGGGCTTGAAGGTTTCCCTGGTTTTCCTCCAAATATAACAATTATCATTTTTGCCAAACACATCAGTTTTGGTTTCATGAGCCAGGACGTGTCTCCAACATTGAACCAAGCTGCCATCAGGATCAGGAGCTGCCATCATTTGCTATGGATGTATGGCTTCTTCTCTGAGTGGCCTTTCAGCCCAGGGTTCCTGTTTTTTTGTGGAAAATGACCCTCTCTCACCAGCTCCAGCCAGCATCTTCTCAAAACTCAAATGTTTTGTCCTTATCATTAGCCACAGAAGCCCTATCTTTGCTTTCTCATATTGCTAAGAATTATACTAATTGTATCTTATGTAAATTTTTGCAGAAACAATATTTTAAAAAGCTTTAAACTGGTCTCTTATTCTTGCAATGAGCTAACAGATGTAATTTTGACAATCTAGGCAAATTTAAAAAGGTCAAGTTAAATCAGTTTTTTTATATCAGGTTATAAGAAACAAAAAGGTTGAATACTTTCTATGCGGTTTTATTTGAAACAATTAGGTTCTCTTATCAGAACTGCACTGGTATTGATAAAAAAATAGTCAAAAAGAAAATCATGATAGACTTTTAGAAAAATAAGATATTTCATATTTAAATCCTAAAGTCTGCTTTTAAATATTGTTTAATTTCCACCACAGTTTTCTGTATTTTACATTATCTCCCCAAAAAACTCATTAATTTGAGCTGATTGTATCAAGCAAAACCAGATCCAGCAGGAAGAGGAAGAGTGTTCACACACATAAGTGAATAACAAACTATATATTTGAACTATCTTGGTCTACAGATGACTTATGGGGTAGATGTTTGTAAACATCTTGTGTTGCTAAAGGATTAGTAAAAAGTTCCTCACGGGTTTCATAAGAGCTCATTTTGTCTTCGTAAGAGGAAAAACCCTGTAATGAGCATGGTTTACAAACTACAGCACAACAAACCAGGTGTTGTTACGCTTTCACACCCTTTTTAGTTTCTTTTCTTTTTTTTTTCATTTTTTTTTTATAAAATGAACCCCTCCCGCAAAGTGCAGGAGCCGAAAAGAGAGAAGATGGGGCGCAGAGGGGAACAAAAAGACAGGGGCCAGTAGAGCTCCTGCGGAGAGAGAGAGACCGAAAAAAACGTGACTCGGCAGCCTAAGAGCTGTTATGCAACCGCTGACCTACTAACACATATCTGTAGCAGGGGAGCCGGAGAAACTGGAGCAAAGTGTCCGGCAGCGCGCAGCAGACGCACAGATAGCCCGAGCCAAAAAGGACAGGGACAACATCCAGCCGAGCCAGTGACTCATCCGACACCGAGCCGAGCGGCGGCACTCGCACAAACTTAGTTTTATTTCACGGCTCCTCTCTCTCTTTCTCGCTCGCTCTCTCTTTTTTTTTTCCTCTCCTGGAGGTTTCCTCCTCTGAAGGGACAATACGGGAAGGAGGAAGCGGGAGCGAGACAGCTTTTGTGTCGGGGAAAGCCTGAAGCTTTTTTCCTTTTTTTCTCCCTTCCCTGCTGCTGCGCCTCCTCCGGGACGCCGAAAGGTATGTCGAGACTGACCGCTTCGTGGACCCTTCACCTGTGTGCGTGTTTTAAACATTTCACCGCCTCGCACGAAGCCGTTTCACCGACGGGAGGAACGGGGGAGGGGGGATGCTCGTGGCCGGGTATTGTTCACATGGCGACTCGATGCTCCGCCGGTTCGGTCCCGCGTCTCGTGCGTGACTTTCAGGCGTCTGCTGCTTCCCTTCTTGGGTCACGTAACGCACGACTCACAGGGGAGCCGAGCCGGACACCGTTTGTTGAAGTCTCTGGTGTTTTTTATTTTATTTTATTATTATTTTAATTACTATCATTTGGCTCCAGGCAGGCGCGCGTGTATGTGGTCAATGTCAAGGCGAGGTAAAAGCCCTCATGGTGGTGCGTTGCAGTGAACTCGGACAGCAGCAGCTGCTGCCGCCGCCGGGCTCCGTTGTCCGCTTAATTCACTTACTAGAATATGTCCTACACGTGGCACGCTCCTTTTCTTCCGTTTTATCAAACAGCTGCCGAGTTATTAATTTGTCCGTTCACGTGTTTAATGTGCGCAAACAAATACATCGAGTCTGGTCGGGGGGCAGTTTTGTTCAAAATGTCTTAATTCTGTAGCATCTTCAGCTAAAACGCACCTTTATTGTAAAGGTTTATCTTTCTCAATGATACATAACCTGTTTAAATAGTATTATGAATTGGTAGCCACGAGGTAGATATTTTTAAAAAAATACAGCTTTACATAAATGTTTACACTAAAAATAATATAATGACCTCAATTTGAAATGAAAAACCCATCAAATATTTAATCATAGCTGGTATAATGAAGCATATTTGTTGTGACATTAATAATGTTTTATTTAACGTGCCGTACTATGCTAAAAACAGTTTTATAGCATAGTAATTAGGTGTCAAATGTAGTGATTTAATGGTTCAGGAACAAATAACCATATCTAAACCTACTCTTTTGTTAGCATGTTTTTAAAAAAGAAGGTGAAATGTTGACATGTTTGAATGCCTGCAATAAAGTACTTGTGACACTGAATATTAGGCCTTTTTCAAAGGAGCACCAGTGTAACAAGCTGATGTTAGATGGTTAATTAGTCAGGCTATCTGCTCCGGTAGCCATGAACATGTCGCTTGTAGCTCACTAGTTTCAATGCGACATTTCGTTACCAGGAACAGTAAGGCTAAGATGTTTGCGCTGCTTCAGTTTCTTCGTTGCGACTGTTCATTTTGATTATAAATACTTAAAAATATTCAAAAGAAAATGTGTAGCAGCCTTCTTTCAGTCAGCTGACTGGCAGTGCGCAAGAACATGAACATGTAGGCGGAGGGGATGTTCTGTCTTACTCTAACTTGCTTTAGCTTGAAAAAAGCCTTTAATCAATCTTTCCAATTCCTTAATATTTATTTTTTGTATTGCAGACTTCTGCCCAAGTCCCTCTTGAAAATGAGAGCCAGATCTCAACGGGGTTTACCTGATTAAATAAAAAACAAATAAAAATTTTATACTGAACAAAATGGCAAGAAAATTTTTGTTCTTTTGAATCAAAGAAAATGGATGTACCAGCTGTGGCGCCATTCCTCTTTTACTAGAAAAGATTTGTGTTCAGATTTGTGGATCGATTTATTGTGCTGTTTTGGTTCCTGTTTTAGGTCGTTTTCTAAAGAGCAGTTTCCTTTAAGTAAACTCAGAGGATATGACATAATCAGCAGAGCAGTAGCAAAAACTCTTGAACAGTTTTACATTTGATTGTTTTATTCGGGAATCTGTAAAGGTGTAAAGAAATAAAAGTGAGTTGAGACAATGTTTGATCGACAGTAAATGTTTGAAAGAGAGAACTAGTAATATCTAAAAAAATAACGTCGATGACCTTGAACTCTGAATTGCCACATGACTATTAAAGGTTACACTCAGTTATTTTTGTTCTTCAGTTTGTGAAATGACAAAAAAAATCCAAACATTCAAAAATTTTTTTAAAAATGATAAATAGAGAGGGCAGTTTTACAGCTGTTTCTTCACTTCAAGAGCAAATTCAATCTGTAAGAAGGTCAAGTTTAGATTACAAATAAAGTGTGTTAACTTTGGTAAAAGTGTCAAGCAAAGAAATTTAAATAATGCAAATTTAATGTGGAAAGGTCCACATTTCACTCACGTGTTTCAGGTGTTCAGTGAGGATTTTGAAACGGAGGTCAGCCGCGTTCGTTGACCTAGAAAAACTGAGTAAATCATCCCTTCAGCAAACTGTTAGGAGACTTGTTCAACATGCGCATTGTAAAGTTGGTACACGTTTTGCACTCAAATATCCAGAATGTTTATAACACTTCTTTAAAGTTTTAGTTTCTTAGTGGGAAATTCTGGGATTCCTGTTGATTCCTACGCTCTCTCTACATATTTCGTTTTTAATTTCCAAAGCAGAAATAGAGCAAATCTTCACAGTGGGAGCTGTGTTTTTAGAAAATGCTTTCAGCGGTGATGTAACACAGCTGCTCAGTGTCTGCTGGTGCTATTTTTAACCAGATTACCTCTTTTCTTCCACCAGAAAACATATAGGGTGAGCCAGACGCAGCTCTTCCTTCATCTCTGTCTGTTTTATACCAGATCTTGGTGTGGGTTTGTTGTAAAGTTAGCAGAAGGGCATCCAGGCCTTGTGATGCAATGCATCGGAAACCCCTGTCTGGCGAGGGCAGGCGCAGCGCTGGTGAGTCCGGCTGCTGCCAGTTGGTCTGGTTTCACAATGGGTGCGTTGCTCACTCCGTCCCAGCCAACTCTCCAAATGTAGGTCAGACCTGAATCTGGGTGAGGAGGAGAGACACGAGGTTTGCAGGGCACGGGGTGGACTACTTTTTTTTATTATTATTATTATTTGGCTCAGGCTCTGAAAGGCACAAGATTACAGATGTAATTCCTGATTTGTCCCAGTTCCCGTATTTTACTGTGAAATCTAATTGTACTGATTAAGAAAATGCTTTAAAAACCTGCACCCTTTTCTCCGCAGTAATTGTTTCCAGTCGTTGTTAATCGGCACGTTGACATATCAAGGTTAGTTTTTGTGTGAGGGAATTCTCGCCTCCTGGTTTGTTTGACACAAAAGCCTTGGTGCAAACAAAAAAAAAATGGAGGTTCCTATCTGGGGCCTCTTCCACGTGTGTGGTGTTGGATCTTTTTAAGCATGGAGGAGGGGGAAGAGGACGTTTTTTGCGTTTTTAATCACGCTTGCCTCGGAGAGGGTCAGAGGTGAAGCATTCCTCCACCGAGTGGCAAGTGGCTGTGAACTACCCCAGGGGGGAGGGGTTTGTTTTTCCTCTGTGAAAACACACAACCAGAAAACATCTTACAGTGAATCAGTCTTTCGAGGCGCACAAAGAGCAAATTATACAATGAGCCGTGCCTGAGCTCTTATCTCTTGAGTCTACAGGACTACGCAAAGGTATCTGAGGTCAGCTTGTAAACCTGTGGCATCTGCCGCTTCGTAATAAGAATGTGTTACACAAGCTTTGGTCCTCACAAGGAGAAAATTCAGAGCACGTAGGCGATGAGCAACGACAGCCCCTCCCTGAGCGGGCCTGTGAGGGAGCATGGGAGTGAATTTGGCTGCAGAGATGGGTGTGTGCCATGACGTCAATGCCGTTGCGCTATCTCTGGTTATAATTTCCCCATCTGCCATGGATTTCTGCTGTACTGTGTTTGGGAAAGGTATAACTCCGGTGCTCAGGAGTTAATGTTGCATAAAGAAAAGAAAGAGAGAAAAAAAACAACCTTTTATGTCGATGTAGATGACGTGTTTGAGTGCACCTTGTTTCATCGTGCTGCAGCAGAGTCTTTAAAATTCCTCTCATGTCCACTAACTGAATTCCTTCTGTCACCAGATCTCGCTCTCTGTCTCCCTTTTCTCTACCCCCCTTTACCTCTCACTATTTTTAGCGTACGCTCTAATACTCTCCTGCTTCTCCCCTCCCTTGCAGTCCCACTGACCTATTTAGTGGCGCACCGTCAAAGACAGGAGGAGTGTTTACTGCTTTGCGCCGTTTCTAGGTCAGTGGGACAGCGCAGAGACGTGTGCGTGCGTGCTTTCTTCCCGCCCGCCTTTGTTTTCACGCTGCCTCTCTCCTCGCTCCTAATGAAAATTATCCAAGATCGGGGAGGGCGGAGGCTTTCAGCCTACATTTTTCCACATCGTTTTGTGTGATTCAGTTCGGATCTCTTTGTGCTGCATGCCAAATTTAGACAAGACACGAGATTCATAAAGGCAAATAAACAGCTTTGTATCCAGAGCAGTTTTCAGGTTGTCTGAGGTCATAATATCATTTCTTTTTTTAATAAATGAGGGGTTATGTAACAGGGTCACTGACTCTGGAGGAAGCCAAGAAAGATTGGATAACATGTATTACTTTAAAACACTTCTGTGGCACTAGATCTGCAGCTCTAATGAAAGGGGAACAACACATTTAGGTCAATTTTGTTCCACTGACTAGGTTTTACTGAAAGGTTGCGCACTAGATCAAATTGCAACCTTCATAGCAATAAAACACGATCAACATTGCGAACAGAAAGTACTTCTTACATTCAGTATTTGGTAGGATATTATATTTCAAGTGCAATGCATAATTTTGTTGCATGCTAATAATATATTTGGCCTGTGGCACAGACTTCCAACAGCCTCAGTGACCTCACTTTATGTAACAACTGAAGACATTTTAATGAAAGAAAAGAAATAACACAATATGAGAAATGTGGGTAGTGGTTATTGCTACTTTCATCAACATTATCACGGCAACATGTTTCCCTGATGTTCATGCAGGCCTAAAGAAGGACTGCGATTTTGACCCTTATGTCCTCACTATTTGGATAACAGGAGTGGTTATTTGTTCAGCTCTGCAAAGAGATACTGCAAAGATTTGGAGGTTCCTGTTGCTTCAACATAATTAAAACACTTTCTGCATCCAAACCTTATATTTGCACAAGAGCTCACTTAGTTCTTACCCATTTCTGAATGAACGTACTAAAAAAATACACAAGCTAATTAATTATTGGTGTTTTTTCTGTTGAACAAATGCTCCATTAATACGTAAAGTGACATTTTTGGCTTTAGATTGGATCACAATGACGGCACTGTTTTTATTTCTAATCTTTGATTCTTTGAGTAGCTTTAAAGAGGTCACTTGTTACACTATGATGTTTCTCTTTCTGTTTGTGTCTATCAAGCTGAACCTAGGCTTCACTAAAGATTCAAATCTCATTCTTAAAAAACACATTTTAAGAGGCTATTTTGACACAAGTGATCATATTCGAAAATGTCTAATTTAAGCTCCATTTCAATTCCAGTGCGGTCAATAAAAAGCAAAGCCAAACTCATTATAATCGGAGGCACAGTGACCTAGATTACGTTCACTCTGTGTGTCATAAAAGGATGTTTTCATGCTTGTGAGGCACTGCAGAGCTCAGTGTTGTGATGTGTTATTAATTTCTTCATACTAACTGTGCAACACTGCGCAGCGAGAAAACCAGAGGAACTAGAGCAAACCTAGCTGTTACATAACACAGAGCAGCTCGTCAACATCCGTTTGTGGTGCATTGTTTTTAATTTTATAGTGCAACGCATGATGGGTGGGAAAGACTTCCTGTTCAGCTGCAAAGTTGAGATGACACTAGGAAGCTCAGCATGCAGTGTTGTGTAATTTTAGAAACTGCAATGGCTATCAGAGAAACTGAGATGTTGTTGTTGTGCTAGAACCTCCCACGGGCCAAAAAGCAGAAATTACAGCATCAACAGTTTCTTTCTTCTTGCACCATAGTAAACCATCAGCACTACATAAATTCAGTCACTCCTCCCTCAGCTCTTTAATAGTTTGCCTCTGCAGAGCTTGCACTAGGTCAGCCAATTTCACTCCTTGTCATGTAACAGACTTCTGCATATGCAGCACCGTCTGCACATGTGTAACCACAGCCTTTTTTTTTAATCTCTTAAGGCATCAACAAAAAACAACAAGCTATTTGCTGTACTTAATGAAGCACAACAAGCAGCTTTCTGCCTCTGTCAAAACATATTATCGTAATGTTTTATTAAATAAATGTCATATCACAATGTTTCTGCACTTCATCTAACTTTTACTCTCTTTTGTTCCTTCCCTTCTTCTCTTTCCTGCTGCCTCAGTAACCCACTTAGAGGTCGACATCTCTAAAGCGGAGTTCTGAAAGAGCCCTGGAGAAGACGTACTGACCTACATCCCGCATAAGACACAGCGAGAACCAGAGCAGCGACCTGAAAAGCTCCTGAAGAAGCAGAAAAACTCAGTCACCTGCAACGCTTTGGAGAACTGTGAACTATTTGAAGAATCACTTTAAATATCCCTACAATCAAGCACCAACTTTTGTTTCCTGTTTTTCGACACTAATTTTTCAGAACACTACTTCAATGTCTGAAGTTTTCGTCGAGTTCCACCTCTTTTTAATATTTTTGGCTAATTTAGATACTTGAACAATTTGACCTTGGAAGATAAGTAAGAGCAAATCAATGAGGCAGTCTTTTCATCAAGCACAAATACCTCATCCAGAAGTTTTTACTGATCCAGCGACATAGGCCAAACGTTATACCAACAAAGTAAAAGGCTTGTATAACTTTTCCGTCTTTTTCACCCCCCCTTTGCCCATCAATTGGGTCATACTGTGGCCCCCAGTTGGAAAAAAATGGAAAGTCTCAGTCTAAACATCCCATCCAACTCCAATAAAAGCACCATGGAAGTTGAAGCATTTTCTCCCTACAATGGGAGCCTCCCTTCCCCTGGTCCTGATGGTTCAACACGCATCAGCCGCCAGCCCAAAGGCTCTAAATCAACCGTGACCTCACGTCGCAAGCGAGAGTTCATTTCTGATGAGAAGAAAGATGCCTCATATTGGGAAAAACGGAGGAAGAACAATGAGGCGGCCAAGCGTTCGAGGGAGAAGCGTCGCATCAATGATATGGTGCTGGAGAATCGTGTCATGGCACTAAACGAAGAGAACGTCCGTCTGAAGACAGAACTCCTTCAGCTCAAACTGCGCTTTGGTCTCATTAGTGCATCTTCCTACATGGAGAAAAGTCAGCAGATCTCCAACAGTGCTGCAGATGGAAACCCAGGTAGCAATGGGAGTAGCAGCAATGGCACCCCTAACAGCAACGCCTACCACTCGAGCAGCGGCTACTCCAGTGCGTCCCAAGTGATGCTGAATTCTGACTCATCTGAAGCTGAACAGTCCAGCCGAAGTGAACGCCACACCATGCTCCATAAGTACTCCCCTCTGGGCTCTGTGTCTGATATGTCTGATGGTTCTTCCAGAGATAGCCCTGAACCCATTGGCTACACCATCAAGAAGGAGCCCTTGGGAATGGAGGTGGAAAGCAATAGAATTCCCAATGGAGTTGCCAATGGGATACCAAATGGAGCTTACTGTGGCAACACCACTCTGGTTTCCCCTCACCAGCAAAACACCACATTAGCTGAAACTGCCAGAGACTACCAGTATCATCAGCAGGAGCACCAGCAGTGCCACATGGAAACCAGTGGTCCTGCTCCTCAGGCCACCTCCTCACAGAGGAGTGTCATCTTGTACCGTTCCAGCAGTGGCTGTTACCCCATGGAGAACCAGAAGCTGGAGGACCAGCAGTCCCAGCAGAATAGACAACCTCAGCATATCCTGCACAGTTTGCCCTCAGACTTCTCTGACTGCTCAGTAACCATCTCTGAGGTTGCAGAGAAGCTCGAGAGGACAAAGACCATGGACTCACCTCAGTATGAATACACCAATGATCATGCCGAGTCCTCCGAGGAGCTCCAGCAAAGATTCAGTCACAGCACCCACCTGCCAGATGACGACCACCCCTGCTATAGCTACCAGGCTCAGGAGAACCGTCTTCAGCACACCGAGAGTCCCCAGAACTCCTTTGCCCCTGAGCTCATCAGCAGTGAAGAGAGCAAGTCCTTCATACAGCACAATGGCTACCTCGGCACACTGGACGAAGAGCCCCCTGTTCTCACCTATGAAGGAGGGCCCCGACCCGATGGCTTCTATCAGGAGAACTCCTCTGCTAAAGACACCTCCTCAAGCGATGGAGACCCTCGTAGCTCTGATAAAGAGGGCTCCACCGATGACGAATCCCCCTCATCGTCATCCTCAGACATCAGCAACTACCACCAGAAGGCAGAGGGAGCTGGCGGTTTGCACAGCGAATACCACACAGAGGTCCAAGTCACTGCCCTGCCTCACAAGCTCCGTCTCAAGTACAGAGCTCTGTCCAACGGGGCAGCTGGAGCGCAGGTGGAGGGACTGGTCTCCAACTCTATGTCCCCTTCTCCCACTCTTCCCCAGCACCCCTACTTAGCCCTGCCCAGCAACCCTTCCAATGGCCAGTCCAACGGAGAGGGCAAAGAGACTGAGACTGAGTATGTGGAAGAAGTCAAGGCCGAGGTGAACGACAGGGCAGAGGCTAAAAAGGAAGGAGGGAAGAAGGGATCTATCGGTGGAAGAAGTGGACGGAATAAGAGGCGAGATTAAGAACAAACATAAGCAGCTTGTGTATTTTCCTGTCAACTCTGTCATTCGATGAAACTAGACAGCTACAACTCACACTGGCACTTTGCAGGACAGGCAGTGATCTATGTGAGGTGTATTTAGCACTGCGTGAAAACGTCAGTATCAGGATATGCGAAATCCCAGATCTGTGCTTTGGAGGAAGACGGACATCCTTCCTCCAGAGCGTGGTGTGTTTCCAACTACGAAGGAGAATTTCTCACAACCAGATAGTGAAGTTTTCTTTCATATTTCACCATCAGATTCACTGTGTCACCTGTAACTCCTTCCTTTACTCTCTCCTACCTCCCTATAATCCCTCAAAATTAAAATAGCAGATTAAGGAGGGATGGATGAAACTCCAGAGTTGGAGTTTCCCTTGAGGAAAATTCAATTATTCATTTTTATTAACTGCCTTATTGGCTGGTCAGTCTATATTGTGGCATTATGGGAGCATTCCTTTTACCAAAGATATGCATATTTCCTTTATCGTCTCCCTTTTTTTGTCAGTTCTTTCCCCCATTTACCTACTTTTATCACCATTAGCCTGGTCAATTGAACTGGATTCAAACAACCATCAGCACACAAGTCCCCTTCACTCCCAAAGGCACTTAGATTGTATATTACTGTGAAATAAATTTGCAGATATAAAATATATATTTTGAGAAAAAAATGTGGCAAAAACAAACAAAAAAAATTAGCAAAGAAACGGGATGTGGTAAAAGACTTCCAAGTTATACGTGTTGTTTTGAAACTTCTTGTACAGTCCTGTTTTTTTATTCTAATAAATGCCTCAAAATGTTTCTTTTACTAAAACTGTGAGCTACTACTCGTAAAAAAAAGAAGACAGGTACATTTGTTCTCAGACTGTGTTCAGCTTGTCCACTCGTTCACGATGAACAAAACAGCCGTTTCTGTTGGAAACTCAGAATGTAATCTTTCACGATGTTATGTGGTTCTGTAGACGTTTGTGTCATGTGATACACGGAGAAGGTCAGTTAAAATAGACTGTAGATCTAGGAACAAAATTGACCTTGCATGGTAATGTTAGCATTAGCATGCTAACCATTTTCTTTTGTGTTAGCATGCTAATGTTAGCTGTGTCATGCTAGTGTCAGGACTAGTGTTGGCACTTGTGTGCTTACATTTATGCGTTGTAGAGTTAGCATTGTAATGTTAGTAGTAGTGGCTCAGTGATCTGAGGATGGTGTTAGCATCCCAATGTTAGCATTTGTTAATACTAGTTTTCTTAACCCGTTTAATCCCGAATTTTTATCTGCAAAATAAGTGCATGCATTTCAATCCTTGGACCTCCCTAATACATGATAGGCCTATTTATGAATGATTACATTTTATGTAATTATTATTACATTTTCATGTTAGTGAGAATGTACCTTTTATACTGAGCAACCATTGTTGCTGGTGGGAAACTGCATATTCTAAATTACACAAATCTGGCCTATTTATACACATAAAAAAATAAGAAAAATCATGACATGCATAACTTTGCTCAAAGTTATGAGCATATAGCACAGTGCTGTCTATCTATTATGATAGCGGCGACAATTGTTGCCACACTTGAAAGAACATATGTACAAAATATTTTATTTATATTTTTTTTATTAAAGTATTTTACTGACTTTTACAACAATTCTTTTACAGCTTCCAGAAGTTAAAAATGTCTGGCAACAATTGTTGCCGGTGGGATTAAAGGGGTTAACTAATAATTGCTATTCAAAGACTGAAAATGTCTTAATTCCTGCAATTCCCAGTCAGAATGACCTGAAGCACTTCTGAAAGTTTTAAGTTCCAGCAGATGATAAAGATGTCAAAAATACATTGTAAATACCTGTAAATGAGCCCAATTTCAACTATATGCTCATAGGTTTATTTGCACACATACAACAGTTTTAAAAACTGTTGTTTTGTATGAGATGTTTCACAGCTTTCCATGGGTCTTATTTGCATTTGTTTATATTGAAGTTACACTCTTTATGTTGCTTAAGTGGATACAGTAAAGAAAAGTAAAAGCAGTTTTGTGTCACATTTATGTTTGTGTTGTAAATGCACTTGATGTTAATTCTGTTTTCAGCCTCAACATTATCTCATGCTGTCCATCGTCTCATATTTAGGGATGCTTCTGCAGGTATCAATGAGTTTTCAAACTCATTGGATGTTAAGCACATGTTCTTAACGTCCGCCTGATTTTGACCAAACTGATGCTTGATGTATTTAATGATCCTACACAACATGTGTCAGAGTCAATTAGAAGAAAACTGTTAATTCGAGTCACTGATTAGTTAGTTCACCAGTACTTAGGTCTTTATATGAGTGAACGAGTGGACATTTCGAACACAGGTTTAAAGTGGGATTCTTGCTCAAACCATCTGCGCTCCTTGACCAGTTTTTTTTTTTTTTTTTCATATCAATTAAGGCAACACATGGCCTTTAGCTGAACCTGACAAGCACAAGCCTTGTTAGCAGTTCATCCAGCAAAATCCATTGAATCCATCAAACAAACCGTCTCTCCAATCACAACCAGCAAAGCTGCTCTCTTTTGGATAAGGTGCCTCTTTATTGTTGTTCCTCGTCCCCATGTTGGCCAATGTCTTAGACCCCTTTCAACTCTGCACTGATTTGTTTTAGCTACAGTAGCTGCAGTAGATGATGCGGTATTTAAACTGTTTTACTTCCTGGTGCCTGCCTCTGGCCGCTATGTATAAATGTAAAGTTGTCTCTATCTCTTGTATACTGCTGTCTTTATTATTTTTAATAATATTTTATCAATACTGTTTTTTTTTCTATTCTATTATTGTGTGTATTTTTCAGCCACTTGTTTCATTCATGCTCTAAGCTCTTCTTGTTGTGCGGTGTATTTACCCATTGCTACCCTTTGCTGCAGTTACCATTTGTATTCTGTGTTACTGTATAATCTTTGTCTTTTGCCTAAAGGCTTCCTAAAAGTGGAGAAAAAAAAATAAAAATAAACATCTTGTTCAGAAGTAATTATGTATTGATATAATTCACGTTGATATGCAAATGGCTGCAAGAGAAAACACTCAATTTTAATTGTGAAAGATTGAAAATGGGGGGAAATTAAAGGTTGTTGAACTAAAGAATGCCTCCTTTGGCCTTTTTGAGACTGTTTTATTGAAAGTGTCATACAACTACAACATTTGCATAAACCCAATGATTTACACACATATCTCAATAGTTTTGAATATCACATTTATGTAATTCAGTTTTGAGTAAAAGTAACATATTCTACAAAATAAGTGCACCGTAATATATTGCAAACATTTAGGCAATTATGGACTGCAAATAATAGAAATTTAAATTTTACATAGGACTTATAGGAAAATATTTTCATACAGAAATATAATGTGGCCTACACAATTACAGGTAATTACAGGTAACTTGACTCCAGTTTTAGTCACATAAGGTCATTGCTAAACAGGCTCGCTGCTCATAACAGCTTAGTGGCTCAATGGTAGAGTAGTAGTTTTGTAATCTGGAAGTCGTTTCCTCGATTTCAGCTTCCTCCTGCCACATGTCGACGTTATCAGACACTTAAGTTGCCTTCCAATCTTTATATCGGCATATAAAAGTGTTTGTGTGGTATAAAACGCTTTGAGTGGTCAGTATGACCAGAAATATTCTATAAAAAATCTATTTCCCTTAGAGCACAGTGTGCAACATGGAAGGTTGAGTAGAAGAAAAAAATGTGGTAGAAAAAGGGGCACAAGGGAAAACTAAAACCTTATTTCCAAGGTTTAAAAAAGCCTAGAAAAAAAAATTGAACAACTTGAGAGAAATTCAGGAGGTGTGGACACACACACACACACACACACACACACACACACACACACACACACACACACATCCAGGACGCATTCCTTCTGTTAAACTGCTGAACCAGACAATGGCAGAAGTGTGTTTCCTGGGCAGATTCCTCAGTTGCCAAATGGCCTCTTTTCATGTGAAGTAAAATATTCATTACGTTTGACAATCAATAACGATCAATACCTCCCTGTCCACCACCACTGTCACCTGGGTGGCATGACAACGGAGGGATTTATATCATTCAATAAGCAGTGGCTCATTTTAAAGCGTGTCTCCAGCTTAAACGAAACTAATATATTAGATTCACAAACACCAAAAAGACAGAAACCGACACACATTTAATAAACCGCGACATCATCACTTCAACAGCTTGGAGAAAACTGACATTATTCGAGAAGAAACATCTTGAACCTTGTCAAGTTTGGATGTTTCCTGAGACTGTTGTGCAGTAAAGCAGAGCCGCGTGTTTTACTCTGATTTCTACCACATCTTACAGGAAATACCAACGCTGTGACACGAGCAGGTGTGAGAGATCTTTAGTTTTACTTATAGCTTCATGGCTCTTCTGAGCATTCCTCTTTCTGCCTACAACCAGCAAGAAAACATGATTCATTGGAGCTGGCTCCATTCTTCCAGACCTCCGGCCTTCATTTCAGATGCTTGACTCACGCTGCTCACTAAGTGCTTTCCTAATGCACACTTACCTTTCCATCAGAGCCAGCTTTAGAGCAGCGCCTCTGTGCTGCTTTTTACTTCTCAAACACATCGACACTCCGGAGCCACACATTGACCTGACTATTACATAATCAGACACTGTCATGCTATGCGGCTGGTGTGTGAAGACTCCGTCTTTTTGAGCAGCACTGCAGCTTCGCGGTGAGCTCTGCTGCTCGTCAACGTGTCAAAGGTCCTTGTACGGTTAAAGTGTCTTGGCAGTAAGACATTTTAGAATATTTAGATGATAACAGTGCATCGTAACGGTATCCATACCTCTTGGCCGTTTTCGTCATGCTGCAACCCAGACTTTAATCTTGTGGAGATTTGATGTGGAAAAAAAATAAAAAAATCTGAGAAGTGCAGGATGAATTTGTGTTAAACCTCAAAGGACCTTTTGCTGCAGCCACGAGTCTTTTGAAGTATGTTTACCAGCTTTGCACAGCTGGAGGAAGTTTGCCCCATTCTTCCTGACAAAACTGCTGAAGTTCAGTCAGGTTTGACGGAAAGCCTGGAGTTTGAACCATTCAAACATGTCAAAATGCATTTCTATAAGCGAAGGGACATCAACTTCAACCCCAGAGGGACTGGTGTCCTGCAGCTTGAAGGTATTCGGCCGTTTCATCACAGCTGAATCGGATGTTTAGGACGTTTGCAGGACCCTCGTATTTCTGTGCTGTGCTGAGGAGGCCAGTGTGTTGGACCAGGGACACATCGGAAAGTTTCAAATATTTTCTAAAGTCATTGACAGACCATAACAGATCTATTATTTACTGCTGTAATTCACTTCTTCTTTTCTTTTTTTTTCTGGGTAATAAGACCGTTTTACTTTTGGATTTAGATCTGGGTCTTAAAATGGATCCATGTTGGAAGCCATGAAGTTCCCGTATTTTGGGCTCTTTGGGAAAACCCAAACTGGGTTCGTCCAGATCAGGGGTTGGCAACTCCAGGCCTGGAGAGCCGGTCTCCTGCAACATCTAGATGTGTTTCTACTTCAACACACCTGAATCAAATAATGGGGTGATTAGCAGAACTCTGGAGAACTTGACTGCATTTAGGAGGTGATTCAGCTATTTGAATCAGCTGTGTTGGACCAGGGAGACGTCTAAGAGTTGCAGGAGACCGGCTCTCCAGGCCTGGAGTTGCCTACTCCTGGTCCAGATGACAAATGCTAGTGAAATGACTCACAGCTGAATCAAAAGCCAGCTTTAAAACTGTGCTGTTCAATCATTGATGGTGAAAGAAATGTCATAATGATATTTGAAAAAAAAAAAAATACAAGAAAAATTATAAAAATGATTGCAATTCATCTGAGGACTTCACTAAGAAGTGCTAAGGGCATTCGCTTCAACTTTTTGGCAAAAAAGAAAAAGAAGTGAATAAAATCCTTGAAATTCTTTTCCTTCTTTGTCAAAATCATGGAGCACTCTGTTTTGGTCGATCACATAAAATCCCACCAGAATCCTGCTTTGGTCTGTGGTTGCAACTGGACTAAAGTTTCAAAAGTTTAAGGGACGTGAACACTTTTTACAAGGTGCCATAATACTGTATATATCCAGTTTTTGTTGCACTTACTGGAAAATATTCAAATAACACTAAATACATTTTAGATGACACAGAACACACATCATCTCTGAGATTAAAAAGAAGGCAGTCCATCATGTAAAACTGAGTGAAGCTGTGTCACAAAGCCCAATTATTAGCTTAAATTGTCTTGTGTTGCCCAGAGTTGCACAATGATTCAGTTCAGTGCTTTACAGGGTAAGTTACACAAGAGCAGCCCGGAGGGGAGAAGAGCGCCGGGCTGCGAACCCAGAGCCGTCCGGCCCCCATCCTGCCTGCCTTCAGTGCAACGGCTGCTGCTGGGAACAGCAGCTTGGCATGAGAGGAGCAGGAGTTACATAAGAAAAATGACAGGAAGGAGAGCCTATAGCTCGCCGCGCTGCTCCAATCTGCAACATAAACACGGTTATTTTTTTTCCCCCTCCCTCTTCTGAGCTGATGACAGAAGCTCTGGCTGGAGAATGTCAACATGGATGACAGGGAGCCCCTCCCAGGAACTTCACGGCGTGTTTTCATGCTCAGAGTGGTTTACGTTGAGCAACTTGGCCAAGTGAATCAGGTGTACGGCTTCTTGTCTTGTTTCTCACTTTCAGGCTGACTGAGTGAAGGGTGTGTGGTGGCAGCGGCTCACCACAAACAGATCTGGTGGTTCCAACCAGTAATATGAAACTCTTCTCTTCTTTTTGTGTGTGTGTGTGTTTTTTCTGTCTTCACTCCTGCTCTCTGCGCCACCCAGCAGCCAGCTGCAACAAGGTGACGTTCCTGAGAAACCACGTTTGGATCGGATCTCCTGTTTTCCTCCACTTTCTCACTCGTTCCCCTCACTTCTTCTTTTTCTTCCCCTTCTTTTCCTCCAGCCCATCTTTGAGCTGCACAAGCTGCTTTGTGTTGTGCAGAGGCTTGTGAAAACAGGCCAGGAGAGGGAAAAAAAAACTAGGTCAGTGAGGAGGGATGGGAGAGGGACAAGCGGCGATGTAGAAGAGAGGGGTTATTCAAAGTGGAGAGAATGAGAGCCGGGAAGGAACGGGGGAGGGAAGGTTACATCACATCCCTCCACAGAGTAAACTTCGGCAAAGTGCTCAGAAAGAAGCTTTATTCTGTTCCAGGGAGCAGGTCAGTGGCTCACAATGGCCGATTATTTCCTCTCAGCCAAAACACCTTCATGGAGGAATGCTGTGTGAAAAAGCTGCAGATTATCAGATGGATTGAAAGAGACACTATTTTTTGTTTGTTTTTTGTAACTTTATTTAAGCAGTTGCCTTTCTGTCAATCAAATGTTAGAATCTGAGCAAAGGGATGGATGCATGACTGTGTGGAGTCTTACTTGATCTGACTTTTACTCTATTTCGCCTCCGAATGAATCCATCTCTGTCAGAAGCAGACCAGGGTTCTGTCAGGACGGTATGAACAGTCAGTATCTTTTTGTGAAATGTACTTTGCACGACAGATCGAAGGAGCAGGACTTTATCAAAACAAGGTGTTAAATTCAATCACATTGAAGTTATTTCCAAGAATTGAATTGTTCAAATTAATTCAACATGATTCGGTTCAATTCAGTTCACTATAGACAATAAGTTGGAGAGAATCCAATTTTATTAAATAATCTTTATTTTACTTTTGGCATGATAGTCTCTCAACTCAAGCTAAAAAAAAAAAATAACATGCATTTTTAAATTGTTCTCAAATAAAAAGATGCACACAGACACGTTTTGTTTTTCTTTTGTTTCTGCTTATCGTGTTAAACTAAAGCATTTTTAGAAAGTTTGTCCAGATTCCTTCCTCCACGTAAACAAACCACTTCAAAGGAAAAACTGAAAGAAAAAAAAACACCTGCAGGTCATTCATCAAATGAATATCAGTATCAAAGTTTGTATCGGAGCGATACC